GAGAGAGAGAGAGAGAGAGAGAGAGAGAGAGAGAGAGAGAGAGAGAGAGAGAGAGGGCGAAGTCTAGGAGTCGTATTTAGCGTCCGATCCCGCCCGATTCAATCTAGCCACTGTTTTGCTCTGTGTGTGTGTGTGTGTGTGTGTGTGTGTGTGAGAGAGAGAGAGAGAGAGAGAGAGAGAGAGAGAGAGAGAGAGAGAGAGAGAGAGAGAGCGAAGTCTGGGAGTCGTATCTTAGCGTCCGATCGTATCTTAGCGTCCGATCTCGCTCGATTCAATCCGGCCATTGTTTCGGGCAACGGGTAACCCTACATTCTGGTCGGGGAAAGAAGGGCAGGCGTGTGGTTCCTTTCCAGTCATTCATCCTTCCCTCCGTCAAGCGTCTGTCATTCAGTCATCTTATTTTCTTGTTTTCCTTTTTTTTTTTTAGTTCGGATTTTTTTATTTTATTTTATTTACCCCCCCTCTCCTTCGGACCATTTCTCGATTTATGCGTGTCATCCTTGCGCTGAGGCCATGCTAATTTTCTTTGTATCGTTCCATTTTATTTTATTTTTTCATTTTTTTTTCTTTTATAATTTTCAATTTTATTGCATGTCGAGGAGGCGGAAGAATCTACTGATGTGATTTGATTCTGAGCTACAAGAGAATCCGCGGGAGTCCCAGGGGAAAATTTCGCCGGTAGACTGTGGCGGTGCTGAATGACTGACGAAGGATGAAAACGAGGCGGCATCCCTCGAAAAGCAAAAGAAGTCCATCGGGATTTTTTGTCCTTTTCTTCTTTTTTTTTGGGTATATTTTGGAAACATTTTTTTCGGTTCTGTTTGTTGTCGTTCTGGACTTTGTATTTGTTTTCTCTTTCCTGTTTTCCGTTTGGGTATTTCCATTTCGATACGCCGTTTTGGGTACTCCGTTTGGGTTCTGCCTGTGATGTCTCCTGCTTTCCTCTCTTCGCATTTCTCCCTTCTTTTGGGATTTTGTTTCCAAATTATTATTTTTTTCTTCCTTCATTTGGGATTCTTTTTCCTTCCAGTTTATTATGTTTTCTGTGCTCCGTTTGGGTTCTGCCTGTGATGTCTCCTGCCCACCTCTCTCCGCATTTCTCCCTCCGCTTGGGATTTTTTCCCCAAATTATCATTTTTTTCTTCCTCCATTTTGGATTCTTTTTTCTTCCAGTTTTTATTATTTTTCTATGCTATTCCCCCCCCCCCCCCAAATCGGGGCCAGTATTTTCCTTCCTCTGCTCTAGTTCGTCCTCTTTTGTTAGTCGTGCTCTGCATCTAGTCCCTTTTTTTCCCATCCGGTCTATCCTGAGTACTCTCTCTTTGTACAATCTTGGGAAAGGCAAATGAACATAATCACGAACCGAACTGCAGTCCGGAATTTTCTCTTTTTTTTTTTCTTTTTTTTTCCATTTTTTTTTTTGTCCGAAACGTTCTCACTCGAAAGTGAAAGTAATTCCGGTGTAATTTCTGTTTTTTTTTTTTTAATGTAAAAAGATAACGAGGGACAGAGATAGACATTGTCAGTGATGCTACGGGAGGCAGAGATTGCTGGTGATTGAGGACATAATCACAGTGCAAATTTGGTGCATGTATCTGATCACATCCATGGGCAGATTCAGATGAAAAAAAGTGATGCTGCGGATATCACCACCAAGGACGGGCAACAGAGTAAGTCGACGTATTCATGCCATCCATGGAGATTGGAATAACAAACATAATCTTGAAAAAAAAAAAAAAAAAAAAGAATAACACACATAAGGTTAGCATTTCCCCTGTGCAAGGCCGACATATGGAAATCAAGAAATGGTTAAATCCCGAAATGAGAAGGCCGAAATAAATTTAAAAAAAACTCAAAAAAGCAGAAAAAATGGAAAAAAAGGAGGGCAGCAAAACCATTCACACCTCGACTGCTGGGTATGGGCAAATCAGAACCACAAAAGAGGGCGAACTAGAGCAGAGGAAGGGAAATACTGGCCCCGATGGAGGTGAAAAAAATAGCATAGAAAAAATAATAAACTGGAAGAAAAAAGAATCCCAAATGGAGGGAAAAAAAATAATAATTTGGAAAAAAAATCCCAAAAGGAGGGAGGAATGCGAAGAGAGGTGGGCAGGAGACATCACAGACAGAACCCACACGGAGTACTCAAAACGGCAGAGGGGGGTGCCATCATGGTGCAGAACCCGTATCGAAATGGAAATACCCAAAGTGAAAGCAGAAAGAGAAAACAAATGTAAAGAAAATAGAAGAAAAAATGGTAGAAAAAAAAAGGCATTTGATCGAACATCTCGTCCACAACGACAACAAACAGAAACGAAAAAACATGTTTCCAAAATATACCCAAAAAAAAAAGGAGAAAATGACAAAAACTCCCGATGGACTTCTTTTGCTTTTCGACGGATGGCGCCTCGTTTTCATCGTTCGTCAGTTATTGAGCACCGCCACGGTCTACCGGCGAAATTTTTCCCCTGGGACTCCCGCGAATTTTGTTGTAGCTCAGAATGAAATCGCATCAGATTCCTTTTTTATTTTTTTTATTTTTTTTTTAATTATTTTTTTTAAGAAACCTTTTGCAAGGAAGATGAGCATTAGCGCACTTCAGCAATCAAACAGCATCATACATATGAGCCCAGATAGTCTTGACCTCGTACCACAGCAGACTTGCATCACGAGATACACCAAATAAGAACACACCAAGAGTTCAAAATTGACAATGCTACTCCCATCATCAACTAAGAACCAGAGTTGATATCCTATTGGCGCTCCGCGCCCAGACTACATGTGGCAGATCCCATCTAGCCTATACTACGAAGCAGAATGATGACATCAACAGCGTTCCCGAAGTACGAGCATATGGCGACCAATGTCGCTCGCTTAAGCACCAGGTATGTCTCTCGCAACACTCACAACCCCGATCCACACCGCACAGATGCCACTAGCACCCAAGGACCACCCTACGCTTCACCTAGCATACAGCAGCGCAGCTTGGCTATGGCTGCATGCTCCCTCCTACTCGCCCGTGAGAGCGTGAGTGCCAGCCAGCCAGCGGATAGCGCAGCAGCGCTCGTGCAGCATGCAGCCAGCACCCGAATGCCGAATGAGGAGGCAGGCCCTTCCCTATATCGAAGTGGCCTGCCTGCGTCCAGTCCAGGAAGCTTCCAGTAGGCCCCAGTAGCCTGAGGCCCAGTCATGAGGAAAGCAGGCCTTGGGCCTGAAGTGGTTGCATGCGCCCAACGACTTTCGGCCTGTGTTCAGCCTGGTACCTGAATCCAGCCCAGGGCCTGTACTTCGTACATTCACACAGGCGGCCCAGGGCCGGGGTTCACTCAACCAACTGGCGCTGCGCAACTGCCTGAATTTTCCCCAATGCGGGGTACCCAGAAAAACGAGGCCCGAAGGGCCTGTCGTGCCTGCCTTCACTTAGGGCGGCCGACCTTGCTGCAAATAGGGCCCCGTAGGGGCTAAGCGGGCGTAGCCTCGCATTCCCTCCTCCATATATTCGTCAGTCCTCTAGGAAGATCAATCTTGAGCCATCTGGCGCTTTCCTTTCAATACATCCTTCTCATAGCGGGTAACGATTTGAGGAGCGGTCTGCATCAATTCCTCCCGAGTAAACCAGCGGTCCTCTTTCGGATCCGTGTGATGTCTGAAGTGAACACGGAACTGCAGTTTTGGCTTTGGAGGACGTCCCCTTCCTGGAGGCTTCTGAACGGGCATCTCCCTGTGATCGACGATATCATCGATGTCGACTTCTCCGTCCATGGTTGGGGGCAGCATTGACCGACGAGAGGGAAACTGATCAGTTTCCTCGAACGCAGCGAGCTTAGAGGCCTGAAAGACAGGGTGAGTTCTGAGATGACCAGGGATACGGATGACATATGATGGACCATCAGGATCTGTCCCTACTACGTCTAGAACTTCCCAAGGTCCAAAGTACTGAGGCATGAGTTTGCGGGATATCCCGAACTCCTGTCCCAGTTCTGAAGACTTAACCCAGACTCTGTCCCCAACTTGAAATGTAGAAGGGCGGCGGTGTCTATTCTCAGACTCTATCGTTGCTGCCTGCGCCTTCTGCATGCGTTCTACAGCCTCCTGCATCTTTTGTTCATATCTATAGGCGAACTCCAAAGTGCCCGGTGTAGCAGTTGGCTGGTTGTCTGGAAGTAGGAAGTCTAAGGGCAGTCTAGGCTTGAATGTCAGTTGTAGACTGTTAGGACTCGTCCCNGTGCCCGGTGTAGCAGTTGGCTGGTTGTCTGGAAGTAGGAAGTCTAAGGGCAGTCTAGGCTTGAATGTCAGTTGTAGACTGTTAGGACTCGTCCCGTAGCACTGTGTATAGCGTTGTTATATAGACTGGCGACTAGAGCAAGCTTTTCGTCCCAGTCTACCTGATTGGACTTGATGTAGTGTCTCAATAGGTGTTGCATAGCGCGGTTCATTTGTTCAGCCTGGCCATTAGCTTCTGGATGATTTCCAGAAGTCATCTGCAGTTGAGTTCCTTCTTCAGCTGCAGCGGCCTTCCACAATTCACTCGTGAACCTGACATCCCTGTCACTGACTATAGACTTTGGCAGTCCAAAGTCTCTAACCCAGTTYTCTTTAAATAGCCTGATCACGTACTCGGTCTTCGCTGTTTCTGGCATAGCTATTAATCTAGCAAACTTACTAAACCTATCCACGATGACAAAGATATGTCTCATCCCACTCTTGCTGGTGACCAGCATATCCATGAAGTCTATGGATAAACTTTCACCCGGCCTTTCCGGAATCGGAAGGGGCTTGAGCAGCCGAAGAGGAGCCTGAGTACGGGGCTTGTCTCTTTGGCATTACTAAATAGCCTGCTCACAATCTTCCTCCATAGAATGCACCTTACAGGTAAGGCGGTCACATTCTGAATGTTACTGTTTTCTTTTTTTTCTTGGTCGCGTGTTTCTTATGAGTCCCCTGTCCGTGAATTGCTCAAGTTGTCCGTGATCTGCTCAAGATGTGTTTTGTTAGAGGATTGTAAGGCTCATCACATTGGCACCTAGGGGAATGTATCCAACCATTTTCACGGTCGGATCCATGTGCCCGTTTTAGAGGAGCCTGAGTACGGGGCTTGTCTCTTTGGCATACTTGACAAGTTTCCACGTACAGCTGTGTATCTTTCATCATCGTGGGCCACCAGAACCGCTGCAGCAAGTTGGTTGCGGTCTTCTTGTACCCAAAATGGCCGGTGGCATCATGACACTAGCCTAAAAACAAACTACGCAAAGACTCGCTATTTGGAACACACAAGCGTTTATTCCCTGCCTTCTCTAGGAAGACCAATCCATTGACCAATTCAAACTCGGCGGAGGTCTTCTTATCCTTCGCCTCAAGTCTGCGTATGATCTCAGACATAAACTGGTCTTGACGATAGGCTTCCACCAAAGACTGAGTAACATCGTCCGTCAGATCGAACTCAGTAATCAGCGCACCTGAGAAGTCCGGTCTGCGCGACAAGGCATCAGCAACCTTGTTATACTCCCCTTTGAGATACTGAGGGTCAAAGTCATATTGCTCAATGACTTCGATCCAACGCTTGAGAGCATCAGCGAGTACCGGTTGTGTTCTCATCCATCGCAGGGTCTGATGATCAGTCCGGAGGATGAAGAACCGCCCAAGGAGATAGTGTCTCAAATGGGTGAGAGCCTTGTACACCGCATAGAGTTCCTTCTCATAATTGGACTTAGCCAACTTCTGAGACGACATTTTCTTGGACATGTACTCTACTGGCCTCAACTTTGGCCCCTCCTGCTGCGCAAGCACGACGCCAATGCCATATTGGCTGGCATCCGTTGTGACTATAAACGGCTTGTCAGGATCAGGAAGTTTCAAGACTTCATAGTGYGTCAGTGCATGCTTCAGATGTCTGAAAGCAGCCTCGCACTTATTTGTCCACTCCCAAGGGGTATCAAGGCGGGTAAGATCAGTCAAAGGAGCGGTCACTATGCTGTAGTTCTTAACGAAAGTCCTATAGTAGCCTGTCCTTCCTAAGAAAGATCTCATCTCAGTCACAGACTGAGGACGTGGCCAATCACGAATTTTGGCCACCTTCGCATCATCGGGCTTCAATCCCTCCGCAGAAATCTCATGACCCAAGTACAAGACACGGGTGCGGCCAAACTCGCACTTCTCACCGTTGATATTGAACTTGTGCTGTCGCAGGAGGCCGAGGACTTTGTCCAGATGTGCCACATGTTCCTCGACAGTCTTACTGAAAATAAGTATGTCATCGAGGTACACGATGACAAACTTATCCAAGTAGTCATGGAATATCCGATTCATAGCGTGCTGAAAGGTGCCAGGAGCATTGCAAAGGCCAAAAGGCATCACCACAAATTTGTACAGACCGTACCTGGTCTGAAAAGCGGTTTTGTGTTGATCCTCGGGCCGTATGGCAATCTGATGGAACCCGGACTTCAGATCTATCTTGCTGAAGTACCGACACCCTTGCACTCTATCTAGCAGATCGTCGATGCGCGGTAGGGGCTCTCTGTTCTTGACAGTGATGGCATTGAGGCCCCTATAGTCAATGCACATCCTAAGGGTTCCCTCCTTCTTCTTAGGCATGAATAAAACTGGAGACCCATAAGGAGAGACACTCGGCCGGATCCAGCCCTTCTCTACGAGTTCCTTGAGTTGGCGGCGAAGCTCATCAAGCTCGCCTGGAGACATCCGATAGATCCTCCCCCTTGGAATACTAGACCCTGGGATAATCTCTATTGCGTGGACGACCTCCCTCTCAACAACCCCTGTCGGCTCTTCAAATAGATCAGGGTACTTAGCAACTACTCCCTCTATCTCTGGTGACATTTTCATCGGCTCGCCTGCAGCAGAGACATAAACTAAGTACATACCCTCCTCCTGATTTTGCTTATAATAATTATAGAACGAGGCCGCACACATGCACCCATAGGACTCAATCAGACTACTACCTTTGAACTTATGTAATCTGGCAGACCCTCCACCTGGCAACGTGTGTTTGAACACTTTTCGATCCCAGTCAAACTGGGGCTGTGCTAGAGAGAGGTAGTACATACCTCGTAACATGTCCATTGGGAGCTCGTCACTCACCAGGAACGAGACACGATGTCTCAAGTCCCCTCCCGCGTACGGGAAAACATACTCTACATCATGGAGGTAGTCATTAACTACCATGCGCTGTTTGTTGGCACAGGTCGACTCCACAGGTCGACTCAGGCGCTGCACTTGCCCCTRTAAGCGCAGCCTCTCAACGCACGCGCGGCTAATAAAGTTCCTAGTCGAGCAAGTGTCGTAATAGGCCCCGGCCTTGCGGCCTCCTATAACTACCTCACTGACAAACATTTCACTCTTAGGGGCTTTAACTAACGCCGTCCAAGAAGCTCGTGGATCTGATCTAGACCACTCATGCTCTAGCTCCTCTAMGGATTCAARCACATTCATCGAGCAGAGGGTCGATGGGTCTGAATGTGTTTRCGGGATAACTGAAGAGTCTGTAGCTTGGGCCATCTCTCGCGAAGGTGAGGGTGAATCCACCATCGCGAYCCTAGTAGGGACARCTACTATSCCTACTGGCCCGACGTGTTTCCCGGAGCACTGCATGAAGAACTTGCAATGTTGCTACCAACGGGTTGAAAGGATCCTACCGCCGACCCCATAGTGGGCGGGATCTTCTCGGTGACCTTCCTATTGCRGCACTTGTACATGYTATGACCATATTGGCCACACTTGATACAAGYTTGCCGTGCCCACCGATCTCTCCACACGTCCTCAGATAGACCCGCTTTCTCCCATGGAKGAGCATTGRGGTCTGTTTGACTCTTCGACCGGGATCCCCTAGGGCGTCTACCGGTCCCTTTACCTTTTTGCTGRGTTACGGCCCGACTACTCCACCCTCTGAAGTATCGCCACCTGCCTCTGCACCTACTCCCTCCTAGAGGTTGCCGTCCAACTCGATGGTTGAACCATCATTGTCGAYAAACATYAAGCGACCCTTCGCCTTCCARTTGGGAGGCAGTGYCTTCTTTCTCCCTTCCGTAGTGGGTGYCTGTCCATGCCCTATATTTTCTTCAAGGTCTAGGGCCACCTTGCTAAACGAAGGAAAGTTGTGCATATTGATGTTGGCCTCTTTTGCCAACTGGTTCCTGAGAGGTTGAGAAAAGCATCTCAGGTACGAAGTCAACAGGACCTGAGGATCATAACGTACCCCAGGGACACAGATCAAACGCTCTACAGCGTCGGTGGCTTCCCTTACTRACTTGAACTGCCGCGTGTGCAGTATCAGGATCGCGTCAGTGGCCCTTTGAGCCTCCTGAGGATCATGCCACCTCTCCTCCACCATCTTTAGGAAGTCCTCCAATTTYTGGGAGGCCGCCCAAGYGAGGAAGTCATGACCATAYCCCTGAAGTTGCACTAGACCGCTCAACCATCTTGCTGCACTACCCTCGAGGTAAGACGCARCCACAAACACTTCTTCATGCGGCAAGGAGAGTTTGCACTTGACGTAGACCGKCACAACCCTCAACCATGTGTCGAGGTCCTCGCCTCTCTTATCCCCTGTAAAAGGTTTGGGAGCGGTGATGGCCGTCTTTGGAACCCACTGTGTCTGTCCCGGTCCATGCATCATTCCAGGCTGTGGACCCGGTGAAATAGGTTGTTGTGCTAGCTGCTGGGGCTGTGTGCCCTGAAGCTGCACTGGCTGCGAGAAAGCAGGTTGCGTGGTGATTGCAACCTGTGACGGACTTGGAGTAAACACTGTCTGAACAGGAACCTGTAAACTACTCCCTGCTGATACCCCTCCTGACAGCGGCATGCCCAGGGAAACGATAGCAACCGTTGACGGGGCTACATATGGGGATACCCCAGTCACCGGTGGGACAGAGAAGGGAGGATATGGCACAGGCCAGGCACCAGGCCCTGATGGAGATGGTGCTGCCTGAGCACGGCCTGCCAAAACGGCTAGGCTCTGTGGGATGTCATGGAGGATGGTAGTTTGATGCTCCTGCATTTCTATAACGCCTAGCAGGGCCATCCTAACTACTCTCACATCATCATCCATAGTGGTCAGGTGCATCCTCTCTAACTCCTCTATGTCTGCCCCTCTTCGTTGCATCCTGACTCTCCTTCTAATCATCATTTCCTTCTCTCTCTTTATCTGTCCTAATGCCTGCTGTAACTGTGCCTCTTGCAGGGCTGCCTGCTGGATGGCGACATCCTCAAAGGACAACACCGCGGGCTGGCTTAATAGTAAGCCAGTGGACTGACTCACGGTTTGTGCGACCGTGGACCCGGCGGTACCTGAGCTACCGGCTTGAGAAGTCTGTTGCGTAGACGTGCTCGTGGCTGTTGTAGCCATGGCTGCTGTAGCACCAGCCTCACCAATTAAGGTTCTGCTGGCCTCGGCTGCTCTAGCTCTCCTCTCCCTCTGCCGGCGGAACAGTTCCCTATCACCCTCCGGTCCTAGGGACACGTGAGTTAACGGGCCCCTGGCAGATCGTAGGATCCTGCGGTCGTTCTCTCCGGTGTCCCCTGTGTCGCTCATGGACTACAACACTATGCAATGTCTACACTAGATCATTCTTGATGCCTACCGCAGCTTAGTGCACAGACCAACTATTTAGTGGTGGCTATTTTTGGAACAAATCTCATTTGGGGTCAACAGGTAAGTCARATTCCTACTCTCAATACTTCTTTTAGTAAGATTAGTTCGCAAACAGAGGAAGCATCAGGAATAAATAATATTWTWAACTAATGYTGTCTGTCAGATGTCACATGACTGTCCATCTAACTAATGAAAAATAAAAATAATGTTGACTGAATGGGTCTGTTCATAGCATGGAATTAAAACCCGAACTTATCACCTGGAACCTACCCCTCCCTTTGTTCTTCTCAAAGTCACGGTGTCACGTTTCTTCACATCAAAAGCCAAGCGTGTCTCAAAGGTGTGCAATCCGGTCCCACCCCTGTGCCCCGGGTTATCGTCGAGCAAGGCAGCCACATCACTCTTATTTACCCTCGTACGCCGACGAGCCTTCCACTCGAATGATCTGGCTGATCAAGAGGCAATTTAACGTCCGCCCCCAAGTGACATCGGGAATTATTTTACGTCGCAGCAGGACGACGATCACAACCAGATCAGAGCCGAGTCCCCAGCCAGAAATGTTTATAGACGGTCTGGTAAGCATCTGTAGAGGCTGCCACACTCGAGTTAACCCCTATTATGCGCAAGCAGCAGAACAAAGACTTGCAACGAAGCATGCGTGTACTACACCCAGTGGGTTGGCATGGTGACCGTGACCCAATGCTTCGTCCAGGGCCCTTCAAGAAGCTCCGCCCGTCTTCGCCYAGATGCTCCACGTGAACAATCACKACTSTCAAGGTTGAGCRCACACGACACCTCACGATGAGAGGAYTCTCAAGACAAAACTCACAACCTCACGGTAGGAAGTGATGAAGAGGGTAGGTAAGGTTGAGAGCAACGTACCTCGTTCATGCTGCCCCCAACCACAGAGATAGTCTCACCAGATGACCTGAAGATGATTGTGATGACCAGTCACAGCATCGGCACAACCAGCATTTCGYCGTTCCACCKCAGCCTCAATCACCCAACAGATAGTTCTCATCACACTGCGAACACCCAATATTTACACCTTAGCCTTCCAGGCGATGCCCCTCACCACCTGGGTCGCCTTCACATTTGTCTCCACCCTCCTCACTACACACCACTTACGACCAAACTCTCCCAGCAGACCGCATGTATGTATCGTATAAGGCAGAAGACAAGCGCCAGATGAGCGCAATTGTACCACAGTTCCGATACCAAATTGCAAGGAAGATGAGCATTAGCGAACTTTCCGATACCAAATTGCAAGGAAGATGAGCATTAGCGAACTTCAACAATCAAACAGCATCATACATATGAGCCCAGATAGTCTTGACCTCGTACCACAGCAGACTTGCATCACGAGATACACCAAATAAGAACACACCAA